TGGACCGGGAGCTGGACCTCGATTTGGATTTGGGCCTTGATGTCTTGTTTGTCTGGGTCTGGGTTTGCGCATATGGAAATGGAAACGAGCATTCTCGCTCTTGGTGAGCCAGAGCCAGTGCCGCCTCTGCAGGCGTCTGCTGCCATGCGCTGGTATACTCGACTTTGATACTACAAGCCATTCTCGGGCGCTTTTTTCCCGGTCGTCTGGTAAAAGACTGGTTGGTTAGCTGGTTAGTCAGTCTATTGTGCTGCATGCATCGACATATCTGCAAGATATGCATCTACATTCACATCCAGATGATCTACCTGGATCTATGAGTGCCGTGGTTTCCGATCTCATGATTTCCTTGCTCGTCTGTTAAGTGCCGGTTGGGAATCGAGACCCAAGGTCGGTACTTTTCTTGTTACCTGTTATTTGTGAGCTTTACTGGTGAATAATGACTAGCTGGCTCCTGAGTGGTTAGTAACGACAGAAATTGGCAGTGGCGAGGCTGAGTCAATGACTAATAAGGGATGGTATGGATACTCCTCATTCTTGTAGAACAGCGAATAAGCGACCTCGGTGTATTATTTTCTTAGCAGACAAGAATCTTTCGTTCAAACGGAACGCTGCTCCGGTCGGACCATTCGAACGAGCGAGCCGGCTGGGCGTGTCTCAGAGTTCTTTGAGCCAGAAACGAAGGTTTCCTCATCCAAGTTCACGCCTGGACTAGAGGCCCACGAGGGGGTGGGACGAATAGCTTAATTCAACCCGCTTTAGCAACCGAGGTTAATTTCTTGCTTCCCTTTCCCAGGTTTCCCGTCGTCTGGCGGTCGGAGCAATTGAGTTCGCACGCTCTTCCTGCAACCCGTCACCTAGCTGGGCGACTGTGCTACCAGGGTTCCAGCAAAAAAAGCTAACTGTCCCCCTCAGTCAGTCGGTCTCGGCAAAAAAAAAGAGACACCATGCACCTCGAAGACCATCCCTGGGAATCTGGGGTCATTGGAGAGAAACGCCCGGGGCAAGCGTGGAGCTGACACCTTTTTGGGAAGAAACTTGACCCACGCCACTCTTCGGCTGTATAGAAAACTCTCAAAGGGGAAAAAAACGTGGATGGAAATCTGGGGTTCGTCCCGGGAAAAGAAGTCTGGCCCGGTGATTTTTTTTTTTCTTTGTATATCTTCAGAGATACTCGTCCAGGAGCCGGGGAAGAAAGCTGTTTCGCTCCCCTTTCCTCTCAGCTCGAGTCTTTGAAGACAGGACATCCTTTCTGTTTCTTTCGACAACTCTGATATTCTGTTGCCCTTACCACCCACCATGAATCTGACACTCTACAATCTGAGCGTCTGCCTGGTCGTGGCCAGCGGTGGCTTCGCCTACGGCTTTGGCTTTGCGAGCTTTTCCACCAGTATTGGCCAGCCTGGGTTTTACAAGTATTTCAATCTTGATCGTGAGTTCTTGCCGCTGAATACCTTCTGGGTCGTGAAATTATGCTGACGCTTGTCTTTGTCGACAGCCAACAGCAGTTACACCGCTAGGTGAGTCACTTCGGAGTGGAATTGGCAGTAGTATGCGTTGGGACGATGCTGATGGTGTCTCTCAGTGTCCTCGGAGCAACGAGCTCTCTCTTTGCCGTCGGTGCTGGAATAGGGGCCATCTTACAAGGGTTCCTAGCGGATTGGGTAGGGCGAAAGAGGGCCCTGCTCATCGCGGCTCTGATTTCTCTCATCGGGGCGGCGTGGACTGCAGGCTCACCGTACCTGGCCATGTTCATCACAATCCGCCTGCTTCATGGCCTTGGTCTCGGCATTGTCGTTTGTCTGTCTGTCGTCTACATCATCGAGGTGGCCCCTCCGCATCGACGTGGAATGCTGGGCTCTGTCAATGTCTTCAGCATGGCCTGTGGCTATGTCGGGTTCGTCATATCGCCCTAGAAAGAAATGCCGTTCAGTGGCTGATACACTTGCAGTCTGGGATGGATCTCGGTCGGCTGCTATCACGCCAAAAATGAAACCGTGCAATGGAGACTGCCTCTTGCCTTGTCCACGGTTGGCCCATTGCTTCTGCTCATCGGCTGCATCTTCATCCCTGGTCAGCCACAACCTCCCTCTTTACCTGCTGACTGTAACCGTGCTAACGTGCCCGTTCTCCAGAGTCACCACGATATCTATGCTGGGTGGGCCGCAACGAGGAGGCACTCGCAATCCTCAAGAGACTCCATGCCGATCCCAGAGACCCCGAAGATTCATCAGCCAAGGCCGAGTACATCCAGATTGCTCGCCAGGTTGAGCATGACAAGGAAATGAACACGGGCTATATTGGCATGTTGAAAAAACCGTCGTGGCGACGACGCTCCTTTTTGGCATTTGGTGTCATGTAAGTCGTCTCCTGCCCGTACCCGTCAATGTTCTCGAGCTAACGGCCGTCCAGGTTCGCCTCTCAAGCCACAGGTGTAAGTCTCCATGCCATCTTTCCGACTCTTGCGTAAGGTGATGTATCGCTAACTATTCTGGTACTCGATCAGATCAACGGCGCCGCTGCTTTCCTGGTTCTCATTTTCAGCAATCTCGGCATGACGGGTGACATGCCCTTGATCTTGAACGGTGTGTTAGACATGATATTCAAAGGTCTGATGAGGAGAACTGTGGGCTAATTTATCCCTCTCACACAGCCACCTATACCACCGTTGGCACTGTCGGCGTGGTCGTTGTCGGTCTGTTCGTCATTGACAGGATGGGACGGAGACTATCTTTCCGTGAGTATCTCGACCCCTGGCGGAACTCAATTCTTGTGGCTGGCTTCCTCGTCTCTTAGCCCCGACGAACGACCCATGACTGACTGACATCTGTTCTTAGTGATCGGCTTCCCTGGCGTTGCGGCGTGTCTTCTCGCCGAGGCAATGCTGCAACGAACATACCTTGACGGCGACAACAAAGCCGGCAACTCAGCAGCGGTGTTTTTCGTCTTCATGTTCGTCATCTTTTACCAATTTATTGATGCTGCGTCCTTTGTCTACACCGCCGAGATATTCCCTACCACCATTCGCGCTCGGGGCATGGGGATTAGCATGTGCGGCTATTTCGTCGGGTTCATCACTTTCGCGACACCCGCGCCGACGGCTTTGCAGACCATGTAAGCATTCTCTCTGTTCCTTGTTTTCTGATTTTCTCTAGCTTTCTTGCGTCCCCGCACCCTTGACAGTTTAACCCGCTTTGGGATATCTTTCCGCTAACGAGATTGTCACTCGCCAGTAAATGGGGATGGTATCTCGTGTTCGCCGGCCTCAGTCTGATCTGCGAGGTCTTGTTCTATTTCTTCCTGCCCGAGACCCGTCTCAAGTCGCTCGAGGAACTTGGCGCGCTGTTCGGCGATATGGTCGTGGTGCACTTGACAGATGACGGTCGGGGTATTGTCGAGAAGCCCGGGGGGCTTGAGGTGGAGGAAGTCGAGCTGAGGCATGTCGATGAGAAGTAGGTAGTGATCAAGAGGAGGAGTAGCTTCAGGCGGGAGATTTGTCCTCGATTCACTGCTTATCGGAGGAGTGGAAGGAGTGACTTTGTTGGTGAACTTGAAGGATGAATCGTAGTCTTTTGTCAGGATCCATGGGAGGGTTGTCTTGACAAGGAAAAATATGACTTTGTACCCCCATACATGGGTGTCTACTTGGAAAATACCTCTAGGGTCTACCGTACTGCTGCGCTGTCGAAATTGGAAGAAAAGAGCGACAGGAAATATTGTGCGGGCAGCAGAACCAGTGTTGAATTAATTCTGAGGGCGTGTTCGGCGAGCGACCATAATCTGACACGATCCGACCACATGATGATGCTACGGAGGGTGACCATGAAGCACGGCATCAAGTACCTCGTATTATATCTCGATCGTAGTGAACAAGATGGATCTGGGCTTCTGTCAAGTAGCGAGGTAGCTACCGACGGAGCAACACTCCTCCTCCAACACCAACGCAGGTCCGCCTCCCCAGTCCATCTACGTATATTCTCTTACTTACCTCGCATATAATTCTGTTTCGACCTCGGGACTCTAGGACCAAAAGCCTAAATAGGCTCAGGGATCTGGAGTTGCCTAGACTACGAGGTACTTAGTACTCGGTATTATGTTCACCATGATCCGTGGCCAAACCGCCAGGGGAACCTACCTAGTAGTACCTAGTACTCGTTTGACTCCGTACACCAGCGGTTACGGGCAATTACCTAGTGCCGCCACACCTGCTCCGCAGGGGTCAGCATAACGCAAATCGATTTTACAGCTCAACGCAGGTTGCAGGGAAATTTCCCGCCGAAGTTGGCGGTCGGTGCCGCCGCTTTGGGAGGCACTCTTCCCTCCATGCCAAGATCGCTTCCCCTGGTCATGATCCTAGCTCGCTACACAACCACCTTGGACCAGAGACGGCCTCCCTTCAGAAACAATGAGGGATCCGTCCCACTCTTCGAAAGCAATGGTGCCTTAGACTACACCAACCCAACCATGGCGCTCCGCAGATCAGAAGGCCGGGTCCTTCTTGATTTCCTCACTGCCTCCAAGTCGATTCGAACCGGGTTTCCTTCTCCCCTATCCTCCTCCTCCCACTCTTCTTCTTATGCTACGTTATATCAGGTCTACGCAGCTTTGGTATCTAGACGGGCTTATGGGAATCTTCCCATTTTGCTTCATTGGAGCGAGCCATCTCCCGACCTTCCAACCTCGTTTGTTCCGCATCTCTACCTACCACTATAGTGGTAGAGAGAAGGAGTTTAGGTGAGGATTGCCTTCGAGAAGGCAAGGGACAATATAGCTATACGGCCCCTTAAACAGAGGCCGGCGGCTCAATTTTCGCCCAAGCATTATCGACAACATCGCCGATAACTTGCTGAGAATGGCACTGTGAAGAAGTCGCATTGAGAAAAAAGTCACCGAGAGCTTTTCCGAAGGCATAATTGGCCAGCCTCAGTCCGGCCCTGGGACGGAAGGAACGGCTCGATCCTTCATCAGCTGATTGACCATTCCTGCCTAAGACATTATCTCTAATGCCTAGGGGCGGTGAAGTCAGGATTTCGGGCAATGATCATGTGCTGAAAGGGGAACTGCACTTTCGATTGGGCATCCGAAACGATATTCGAGCTCTTTTTTCGGAGCAACAGCTGTTGTGATTGAATGAGTGCATCGTGGATTTGGATGGCTCGAGCGCGCTCCGCAGAATCAACGGCAAGGCCAAAATCGGCAACATCACTCTTCAACTTGTCCTTTGCCTTCTTAAGCGTTGTGCGCAGCGAAGAAGAAGTAAAGTTTCTGATCAGAGCCCCTACCAGTTATAAGGTCAGCATGTGGCTGCAGCATGGGGTTTGATGAGTCTCAGCACGTACACACCGGCTTCCTAGCTAGATGTCGGACAATAACCAAGCAGAAATCAATGTAGTCCTCAAAAATGGCCCGCAAGCTGAGCTCAACGGACTTGATCTTTGGGTATAGGCCCAAATCTCTCTCGAGGAAAGGTAGAAGGCTTTGAAGGGCGCCGAGCTGAGATATGATCTCTTCAATGGATTCTGCGAAGATGCAGCCGCACTATCGAGTGGAGGGAGCGTAAGTATGAGGAAAACAGCTTGCTCATTGACCGCGAGGCTTAATTGGATCACAACGAGAAGAATACCCCAGACCAGCGCAGCAGTTGGCTCGAACTGGGTTGCAGACGAGATTCCGGAATGAAACGATCGCACATGGTCCAGGCTGGGGTAGAGGTATTTTGACGCCAGCGCTGGGACTTTCTTTTGGGAGAATTGCTGGGCAAGAGCTTCCAAAGCGGTTTGGAAGCTTTGAAGATCCCAGTTTTGAACTGCTTCGTCCAATGTGATGATGGGTATTTGAGATACATTGTTGAGTTTCTTCTTGCGTTTACGCTCGAGCAAAGCCAGCAACGCCGTCAGCTCATACTTCTTCCGCGTCAGACTCTGAGACCAGATGCGGCCCGAAGCTGATTGCTGTGACATCTTGTGTCGCCGTGCGCAAGCATCGGTAAGGTCATATTCTACCTTTGGTTGAAAGAACTATGTACTAGTATCCTCACTGCAAGTGATCCTCTTCAGATCATCGCACCGCCCGAGTGCTCAACGGCTGAGGACAGGGGCCACGGTGATTTTGCCCTGAGAGCCACGAGATCGAAGGCCAGGGAGAGGAGAGCCTAGTACGGCGCCTTCCAAGGCTGGCAGGCACACTGGGCGTGGGCGCCACTGGAAAAGAGTGAACCATGACCAGCATGTAACCCTGGAGTTGTCCAGAGAGTAAAAGTATGCTGCGTCCAGTGCCAAGGCTCTTGACCAGCGAAAAATAGCCCGCAATCATTAGACTTAAGCCTCATTAGCCCGGCTCAAGAGGGAGTCTCCTGTGCCGGACCAAATGCTGGAATGGAGTCCCCCCGGGGGGTGGGGGGTTGGACGCTGGCTGGGCCTCCTGTGTTCCCTCCCCTCACAGATCTGTGTGATGCTTCTCGCGTAGTGAGGCTCAAACTGCTCACAGAAGGAAATTCCAGCATATGCCCGAAGCAGGCGGAGGTGTGAGGCTGGAGAGAGAGGTGCTTCAGCCTGCTGCGCCCGTTATTATCAATTCAACAAATTCTTACCAAATCGCTGTATCTCACGACAAGACTGACACAGAGGCTAGAATACAGCTTCGTCCATATGTTAATCGCATAAGACCATGTATCTTCTTATACATGGAAGGCTCTGTAGGTGACTGGCCGAAACGAGCGATGTGGACAACGGCAGCCTGTTACAGAACGCATGCGCTCGCCCCGTGCCGCCCTACTTCTACTAATCACTTTGCTCTGATCACGAATTGTAGTGACGGTTTCCGGAATTTGGGTATGCGCGTCTCAAACCGGTGAGTGTCCCTTGTCTTGCAAGGCTGTGGCCTCGAATCACACGTTCAGTGTCCTGAGGGTTGACAACCGCCGTTGTCGTCGCCGCGTTCAAAGGATTTTGACCATCTAACTCCTCTATCACTAGATTCTCTGCACACTACACGCATGTGCCCTTGGAACAACAAATCCGTTTTGATTGCGATTGTTTTCCTCTTCATAACAGTCGCAATCACGTCAAACTTCAATAGGCTTTACCGGCCTCTGAGCGGCGGTTCGTGGACCCCTTGACGTTTGCTCTACTCTCACGCAACTGCGCAACCTCACTTTGCACTACTAACACCGACCACAGACAGGGTACCTAGCAACATGGCGAGCCTATCTTCTCGACTTGATGCCCTTCGTCCAAAGGTGGAAGAGCTGATGCGCATTGGCGGGACACCAGGGCTTTCTCTGGGTGTCATGCACCATGGGAATCAGGTCTACTATGCGAGTTACGGCTACCGTGACGTAGAAGGACGTCTTCCGCCGACTGATGAGACTGTTCTCCCCGTCTGCTCCTTGACCAAAGCGGTCACTGCGGCAGCCGTCGGAATACTGGTCGAAGAGAAGAAGGCTCGTTGGGACACCTTGGTCAAGGACGCTCTGCCGTCTTTCCACATCGACAATGATATTCTACAAAACCACTTGACTCTCATGGATCTTCTCTGCCACCGTTCAGGCATGTCATGGGGCGATAACCTATTCATCGGCACCGACAACAACGTTCTCATTACGAGAAGCAGTCAATGGCCTACATTAATAGCCAGACTCGTCTGCTTCCATTCCGAGGCCAATTTGCGTACAATAACATAGCCTTTGAGCTTGCCGGCAAAGTCATTGAGTCACTCAGCAACGAGTCCTATTTCGACTTCGTCCAGACTCGTCTTCTTGATCCCCTGGGCATGACTCGCACGTTTCTCAAGACGCCACCTTCAGACCTGGACAACGTCGGCAAGTGCTATAACGCGCTTGATGACGGAACCTCAGCACCCATCACCGCCGTGAAAGCCGGAGACGACTGGTTCGGCACCCCGAGCGCCGGAATGCGGTCCTGCGTCAAGGACCTCATGAAGCTGTACAAGGCTTTCATGACGTGTTTCAATGATCAATTTGCCACCTGCAAGACGTCCACTGATGGGCTACCATTAAAGCAAGTCTCCGAGCTGATGTCCGCCAAAATGTTCATGGACCAGCCTTCCAAGAATGAGGCATCCTACGGCTTGGACTGGGGCAGAGTTCAGCTTCCCGGAAGAATGGGCCAAATTGGGATCAATCCCGGTCTGATGCCAGGCGGCATGCCTGTCGTTGACAAGGGTGTCACGCCACGCCTGGTCATTTTCCATCAGGGCAGCCTGCCTGGCGCGCTCTCGCTCAATATGCTTCTTCCAGACACGCAAAGCGCCATAGACATCTCGTCGAATGCTTTGGCCCTAAACGATGTTCCTGATTGGGTGGGGCAACTTGTACTCGAAGAGTTTCTTTATGTTCCTGAATCAGAGCGGAACGACTACATCTCTGCTGCCAAAAGTTCGTCCGCACAGAATCTGAAGCGGTATCCGAACCTCATCAAACAGCTCCGGGAAGCTCAGAAGAACGGGACATCGCCAAGAAAGCTCGAGACCTAGGTTGGAACTTACTGGGATCCCCACCACCTTGTCAAGATGGTGGTTACCGTGGAGGGGGGTGAGCTATACTGGGCTCTGCAAGGACTTCGGTCTGAGAAATTCCGTCTCACCCATTACGAGGAAGATGTGATCACTCGGCTCCAGTCACGGAACGAACTATCCCGACGTGGTCGATGGGTCGGTCCAGATCAAGGGCCTGATTTCTGGAAGGTTGAATTCAGGGTCGAAGAAGACGGCAAACCTAACCGGCTGTACTGGGTGCACGACAACGACGTTGCAGCAGTCGAATACCGGAAGGAATGACTAGATGGCAGACACCGTTTCCGGAGTGTTCTATAGTGCGTAGCGCCGTGCAGACTCAGGATCTTCTGGGATTTCGCACTTCGCCGACAGCATGTGTAGTTTGCGCCTGACGGGCTTTTTTTTCTAGTAGCTAGCCGGCCTTGAAGAGGGTTTCCAGAATGCCTCGTGAGCGCTTTGTATTGTGTTTCGGTCGGGTTGTCAGTCCATCGTATTGGCTTGATCTCAATCACCCGACCATGGTAACCAATATTGATGTCCACCTCCTAGATAGACGCCCCAGAGGGTGCTCACCAACATGGGAATCTTCATGAATGCATTGAATTTCATTTGTCGCAGCCGGCCCGTCAAAGCCTAAGCTCGCAAGTAGCTAGAAACGCGACTTTGTAATTTCCCGTCATGGGATAGCCTGGGCACTGCATGACAAAATACTGTACACATCAGCATACCATGTGCCTGCCGTAGCCTCCTCCGTATTGGAATCTAAGGCGGGCAGGCTTGGGGTGACATGGATGCGACCGTCTCTTCTAGGAAACACTTGCATTGGCACAACCCTGGTCAAGCCGAAAACTCCACCAGGTGTTAAATACGATCGGTTTCCACACCATAATCTTGGGCTAGGCTCGACAGCCTGATCTGTCCGCACATGTTTCGACAACCTTGCGGGCTCTGAAGCTGGAAATATACCCTCGAAAGCGTTCAGAAGGAACAGCGATGCCGCAAAAAGTATATCATATTGTGGTGACTGGGGCCGGCGTAAGTACGCCTAGGCCGGCAGGACCGGGACCGTGCTAACCAGGCGGCAGGGAGAGCCAGAAGGGAATCCATCTCCAGCCGTCCGAGACTCTCTGCCGGCAGAGATATCTTTAGACAGTGGTGTTGTGGTGAAGATCTTGAAGTACCCACGCGAGAGAACATGTTCCTTCCGCGAGATGCGAGAGACCACCAAGGAGATCTGGTCCAGTGATCCTTCCGTCTTTGGAGAACCTCCTCTGTCCCCTGCAAGCCAGTTCCACATTGACCTCATGCTTCATATTGGCAAGTGTACACAGAAGAAGCCCGGGTATTGGATCGAGAGCATTGCGAGGCGAGACATCTACAAAGGTGTGGATGACGAAAACCAGACGTTTCCGCCAGGACAGCTGGGTCCCGGAGGTCTATGGGAGGGCCTACCCGAGACGTTGAGTCCGTGTTTCGATGTCGACAAAGCTGCCGAAATAGTCGCAAGGGAGCATCCGGTGAGTCTTCTACATGCAATCGTTGCGGCGGTAGGATTAATGAATGGGACAGGACGTGGTTTCTGGAAGGTCTGACGATGCCGGGGCGTCTTTCTGCGAGCTCGAGTTGTTCTCTTCTCTTGCTGTCTGCTACGATAGGAGGGAGTCTCGCAGAGCAGAGTTCTTCCATATCCCGCCAGACCAGTCACCGCCAGAGATTCAGATGCATGCCGCCGTTACATTGACCCTCATTGAAGCCCTGGTCACTCAACTACAGGAAATGGAGGTGATACGTGGCGGTCGGGAAGGCCAATTCTAAAATGCGGAACTTAGCAGGCTTCAGCACTCAAATATATGCTGTATTGTGCCTCAACTCTTCCTGTCCCCTTCTCGACCTATAGTTTCTCTTCTTTTTCATTTCAGCCTCACAAGCCGTTGGCCCCGGCATTTTCAAATGCAGGCTTGCATTAGACCGCGGAGCTGAGCGTCCTACACTCGCCTATGTACGAAAGTCAGTCGTCTATCGTTCCGTGATATCATGGGTGACCCTGGGACTGGTGCGATTGCATCGCAGGTGGTACAAATGCAGTACCTACACCCCCGGTGAGTTTTTGCATCATGCTCGTATGGTGACCCTGTCCATCCTTTCCTCTTCTTCCCTCACCCCTGTATCCTACATCGTCGTTGTCATGTCCAATCCCCGCCGCCTCGAGAATCGCAATGCCATCGTCACCGGCTCCTCCAGCGGCCTCGGCGCAGCCATCAGCCTGGCCCTCTCCTCCCACGGCGCCTCAATCTTCTGTATCGACCTCTACCCAACACCCCGCAATGCCATCAACTCCAATACAAACCGCGCCGACGACATCCACAACCGCACGCGCGACCAGTCCGGCACGCACGAACGCATCCGCCAACTCGGCAGCGAGGCGACGTACCACAAGGCAGACGTGACCCGCGCGCGGGACATAGAGCTGGCGATCCGGGCATGCGTCGCCAAATACAAGCGCGTGGACATCATGGTCAACAACGCGGGCATCAGTGTCGAGTCGACGCACCTGCGGCCGCTGCGGTGCCACGAGACCAGCGAGGAGGACTTCGACCGCACGCTGGCCATCAACACCAAGGGCATGTTCCTGGGCTGCAAGTACGCGCTCAAGCAGATGCTCGACTTGCAGCCCAGCTGCACCGCGCGCGCGGCTGGATCGTCAACGTCGCCAGCATCTAGGGCCTGGTGCCGTACAGCGGCACGCCGAGCTACTGTGCCTCGAAAGGCGCCGCCGTCATGTTGACCAAGCAGATCGCGCTGGACTACGCGGGCGACCTAATCCATTGTAATGCGCTGTTTCCGGGCTTTTTGCAGACCAGCATGACGCAGAATCTGTAGGGTCAGGAGGATACGCTCAAGGAGATCGAGGCGAAGCATCCGTTCGGTGCAAGTTGGGGTCTGTCGAGGATGTGGCGCGCGCCGCGGTGTTTCTTGCTGGGGATGAGGCGGGTTGGATCATAGGTGTTCCGTTGCCTGTCGACGGGGGATATCTGCTTCGATGAGGCGACAGAGGGGTAGGGTCTGGGCACTTGGGGATGTAAGCGGAGAGCCATGGGCCAGTATCGCGACGATCATGGCACGATGAACGAGGCGGTTGATATGGAACTATCGGGGGCAACACCGTATGATTAATATGGCGCTCACCGGGGTTCCAAGCAGACTATCGCATAACGATGACACGGGAACGGAATAGGAACACAATGTAATCGTACAATCATCATTGGGTGCCGCTCGAGTCGCCGGAGTTTGGAGAAAACTGCTTCGAACTTTTCACTGGCCGTACCAACAAGGGACTCCTTAGCGAGTGAGAGACCTTCCTGACAAGACAGTTGCTTTAGTAACGCTATGGCCCAATATGGACGAATGGGACCCAGTCAAGTACGTGTTCGCCCTCGAGATTATTCCGAACCTTCTTTGTTGCTCTATGCAGAGCTCCCACAACGTCCAGGCAAACTGAATCCCCGTCACCTGGTATTCCGTCTGCTTCACGCATCAGATCTTCGTAGAATGCGTCAGCCACTTCACCTGCAGTCTCGTCATTGGCCCCATAGAGCGTCGCAATCACATGGGGGAATCCCAAGGTCTGGAACAGATTCCCAAGGTGTATTGCTTCGCCAGCTAATGTGTCATCTTGTTGGATTTTCGCTGTCGAGCATGCTGAAAGATAGGCCACCTCGCCTGGCTGGTGCTCTTTTGTCTGCCTTGATTCAATATCCGCAATTGTTAACATTTCCCCCTCCCCTTGATCCCCGACGAGCAGCAATCCGCTTTGAGTTGGGTCTTGGCCGTTGCTAACACCATGACAAGCAAAGTGAACGAATGAATAGCGGCGAAGAAAATGCAAAACACTCGCTGGGCTTGGGCTCTCGAGATGGAAGAATTGTTCCTCATCCTGGAGTGCTGGTTTGAAAAATTTCTGGACGGCAGCCACTTCCGCGCCAGTGTTCAGGTAGCCGTATGAGTCCGGATCATTTGTGACAGTCACCAAGAACATCTTCTTAGGAGAATTCCGTTCAGTGATCGCGGAAGTACACTTGGCTCTTTCTCTAGCGTATTGCAATGTCTGGAAAGAAGAGACATATGATGACATGACGCAATTGAGTGTGTTGTTTTTGGAATCTGGAGTGTGGTCTCCGGCGGCATGAAAAGGAAGTCGATCGGCAAGACCAGTAGTTATCCACCAGACTCGCCGAGTGGATCTTGGGAGATTTTTCAGAATCTCTCTGACAGCAACCTCCCACAGCCATGATAGGGCGTCGAGAGCAGCTGCAATCGTACTAGCAGGTCTATGGGCGTTTCTTCGCGCGAAGTCTCGTTGTTTTCGACTGATCAGCACATCCAAAATGAGAATTTTGTCCCTTGTGTCCTTGTACCCCATCTTGGGGAGGTTCAACCGTACGATCTTGTCAATGGTGACAATAATTGCGTCGGAAGAAACAGTCGAAACGTTGACGACAACCACTGGACCCTCGGACGCAGTCAATTTCATTTCTGCCTCTGTTAGCGGCTGTTGGAAGTTTTTGAACGCGTCCAGCTGTTGTATATCTTCTGTGAGACCCATTAGGTCCGTCAACCACATATCTTCATTCGGCTTGAAAATGTAATGTGGCTGTATCAGCCTTCTCTCTCTTTCAAGGTCGCTTCTTGCTGATGAGTATCTCCGGGCGAGAGTTTCATCGACCTTGTATAGATTGGACAAATCTACTTTTGTCTTCCTGGACAATCTTGAAATGATGCAGCGGGATAGTTCCAAAGATCGAAGTGCTACAAATGGAGGATCTCCGACCTGAAGTGCGACAGAGGCGGCGTGCTCGGCGAGAGATGAAGCTTGTCGAAAGTTCTCTTGCAAATCTCGTGGAAGAACGAAAGAGTTTTCGAACGCAAGAAACTGTTCAATTGCACATTGAAAAATTTTATGCGCTTCTTCCATAGCCTCATCCTCAATAAGAAGCAGTCCACCTCCAAGAGCTGCAGATAGACGTACAGAAAAACTCGCGTTCTTGGCTTCTGCAGCAATTGCGAAATTTCTTTTCGACTGGGCACGCAAGTGCTTGTCAGCGCTGTTGGTGTCAAGGAGCTTCATCCTCTGCATTTCGGCAACATTTTTGTGCCATTTACCAAGACGCGAGTCGTTCTCGGTCAACTTTTCGATTGCTCTCTCGCCTTCTGAGATGGCTTCGTCCAGATACTTCAAGGCTTCATTCGTGCGACTTGCCGTCTTCGATATCCGGTATTGGATCCCCAGGATGATCGATTTGCTGAAAGAAATTTCACCTTTATCGGACTCTTGTAACGAGTAGGCTTCATCCAGCTTTTGAGTAGCATTCTCCACCAGTCTCAGATCCTTCGTTGATTCCCATTTGTTGCAAAGCCAATTAGCAATCAAGATCAGGACACCGGCCTTACGGCCACTGTTTTCATTCATTTGTTTCAGGGCTCGCTCTCCGTAGCAGATCGCCTCGCTGAGCGCCTTAAGAGCACTTCTTCGCTTTGAAAAGCGGTCTCTTTGATACTGAGCTTCCAAGATTCTGCCATGATTGCAAAACCGTACGGGCCATTCTTCGACAAATTCTGAAGTTTCAGTCGGTGCAGAATTGAAACATTCTACAACAGCTGTCGAATATGCCAAAGCCTCGGAAAGACTGCGCGAGTCGCTTGTAGCTTGGAAGTGTGATAGTAACACTGTACTATGGGTGGCACAAATATCGATGATTACTGAAGTAGTCTGTTTTGCTGCCCATAACAGCCTGCCAGAGTTGATTGAAGACTCATGTTCGGCCGCAGCATCGAATGGAGATTTGAAACGTCTTGGGGCGGTGTACTGAGGAAAATCAGAGAATTCATCCGGACGGGTCAGATATTTCTGAAGATATCTGATGCTGTAACACGAATAGCTTAAAGCTTCTTGCATGCCATGATTGTCCAGAGTATACGCAAGTCTCTCGTGTTGGCCAGCCAGCATCGCAGCAAAGAGGGATGTGTGTCTAGCTCTGGGTACCGGATCACCGCCACCGGTATCCTGACTGGCAACAGCCTGGGTTTGAAACTCAACAGCTTTTTTATCATGCTTCGAGGACGGAAAGTTCGCCGCTCTGCGGTAATACAAGACTGATAGGAGTGTGGTGACCTTCCGCAATAGATTCCCACCTGCCTTTTCGCCGTCCGCGGATCCAAAACTCTCCAGCATTTCGTATGCATCCAAAGATGTTGAGATTGCTTCATCAAAGTCCTTCAGAGGGCGTTCAGGACGCTTCAAATTCTCCAGTGCTAGAAGACTCCGCTGAATGACGCCTCTGAGCCTTTCAAGCACTGCACTTTCTTGGCATTCCACAAGAAATTCAGAGGTCGCCTCCTTCCAATCTTCGAACTCATCGGCCATTTTTGCAGTTGTGGAATATGTTGGAGGTTCAATAGAGTGAAGCCCAAATAATGGTCAAGATGCTTGGTGCCCTGACGTTTGCTAGAGCATGAAGGATCAAAGTCGACCGTGAAATAGGCGACTGTTCGGGGTATCTCATGCCAAAGTGCCTGCAGAACTTTGGTATTCAATTGCACTACCTCCGTTTTTGCATAAAGCAAGGGCCCTAATATTAGCCACCTCGCGAGCTGTCCTCGCTTTCTTTCACTATCTACAGGATGAAACATGCAGGAGTTCGTATTACAAAGTAGAATCTTAGGCACTTCTCATTTTCAACTATCAGGCTGAGGCTGGTCGACCAGTGGAATCGAAATATAAGTGCGCCACCATCACCGCTGTGCTTTGCTCATTGGCGCCAGCTCATCAACAAAAGTTCTTTACCCCTCTCTTTGTGTGACGCTGAGCCAATTGGTTTTCTTTTCATCATTTTAATTGCGCTCGGTGAAGATCGACTGTAGCAGCTGAGAAGTCTCTCTGTTCGACGCGATCGATACCTCTCGCTCTATCTCCTCGACTCCGCCTACTCCACAACTAAACACGAAACGCACAAGCTATGGGCTCTAACATAGCCAGAAGGTTTGCAGTTCTTGTAGGAATTGATTTATACGACCATGAGCCTGATCCCAAGAAGAGCAACAACCTCCGGGGCTGTGTCAATGACATTAAATCGGTCTCGCAGTTCCTCCAATCCGAACTTCAAATCCCTCCTTCGCAAATCACAACACTAGAGGCGCCCAATGTGAAAGGATCGAAGATTGATTTTTCAGTCAGTCACGCACCAACTCGGAAAAACTTGCTATCATCACTGCAATCGCTCGTGAATGAGCCTCCAGGAGCATTCATTTACTTCCAGTACTCAGGTCACGGTTACCGCTATCGGAGACGACTGAGAAAGGGGGAAAACAGAAACAGACGTCACAAGGAGTTTCTCTGCACGTGGGAAACGTGGACCACAGATACAGAGCTGGGTGATATCCTTGATAAGCTCTCTGAGAAACACACTGTCTGCGCGGTCCTGGACTGCTGTCATTCCGGAGGAGCAGATCGAGATGCCATCCAGGACGAAGCCGCACGCAGCGATGAAGAGCAGGACGAGGAACATAATGGAGATCAAACCGAAGACGTAGTGATTCGATCTTTCAATCCTTTCAGCGGAGAAACGCCTTCCCTGATGAGTGATTTAGATGATGGTGGTGACTCCGAAAATGAAGAGGATGAGTTTCCAAATTTCAAGGGCCGTCCCAGCGGAATGAGAGATGCAACTCTTCCGACTTCTGATCTTTATCGAGAACGGAAGTACAACCTCATTGCCGCCGCACAGGCCAGTGAAGTGGCCACCGAATGCACCTTCGTTGTGAAAGGTGGCAAACGTGTTAGGAGCGGAGTGTTGACTCATTACCTGCTACAGTCACTTAGCGAGTTACGAGGGTCTACGGACCGTGTGACATATCGACTGCTCCAATCCAGCGTTGATGCCAGAGTCAAGAACTTGAAGCTTGGACGAAGGAGATACAGGATTCAACAGCATCCACTGCACCTCGGGAACTCAAGTCGATTTCTATTCTCATCTGATTCCAGTGCTGAGAGCTCACTGGATCTTCTGGCCAATGTCAACCATAATACTAGCGGCACAGTGACAATCGACCGAGGCGCAGCAAACAATGTGTCGGTTGGCGACAGATTTTGGCTGCGTCCGTTCAAGGATGCAGCCTTTGGACTAATTACCGCGCAAAGTCAAGGTGCGTTGGTATTTCAGGTCGACAATGTACAAGAGTTAGAATCGACAGCATCTTGGTCTCATCCAGCAGCCCGGCCCCTGGCTAAGGCCGGATATATTGCACAGCTTTTGGAGCGTACTCCCAAAACCAGAATGCGTATTCATCTACCAAACATGCTCTCAGAGGACGCGCTGCGCATCAAACAAGAATGTGCCAAATACGAAGTCCGTTCACTGCCAATGGACTTGAGTTTCACTTCTGGCGCCATGGAACCTGGTGGGAAGGTCGACTTTATTGTCACGGTAAAGCAAAAGTTAGGTCTCGATGTCCAAATCATTGCGTCCAACGACCAGGGCAATACTCGTGCCACTCCCGCTATCGGACCGGACAACCCAAAACAACTCATGGAGGTGCTACATCACTTGTGTACCTATCAGCTAGCTGCGAATATCAACTTTCCGAGCATCACAAACCCAGGGGTTCTGTCGACTTTATACGATTTTGATTGCCTGCAGCAAAACCCTGATGGCAAATCTCCACCCGGGGCCGTTGCCATGTGCGAACTCAAATTCAAAAATCGATCACCCTCTCCGGTTTACATAACCATCTTAAATCTGACTCCAGCCTTTGGCGTCCAAGCGATACTCCCTGGGCCAGAGTCCAGCAGCGAACAGGTCGCGCCCGGACTCGAGAAAACCGAAATCATCGACATGTTCGTACCAGACTTTTTGAAGCACAAAAAGCAGCTAATGGGCAATAAACAGCAACCTATCGAAATGAGAGATGTACTCAAGCTTTTCGTCGTCACGCAGAAAACGGACTTCCGGCACTACCAAATTCCAAACTTGGAGATAGACCACAACAAGGTCGATATTGCATGGATCGGTCCGCAGACAAAGCATCTACTCTCTGAGAAATGCGTCATCGAGGAGAAAGTGATTTCGACATTGGTGTGATGTGGTTATGAGCTCTTTGCCAATCTTGGAAAAGAAGACCTCGGGAGGCAGGAAGAAGAAGTCGGCAGTTCTAACTGCCAAGGAAGCTGGAGCGAGATCGGACATTTAGTTCCTACTAAGTACTTGTAGCTCATGGAGAAGACATTTCGAGGAAGATACACTGAAAATGAGAGGCGTTTTGTGCAATTCTCCCTTTTTGGCCTCTACTCGTTGATATCATCATTTACCGTTGCTTGTCATCTGTACAACTGGAGAATTCTTTGCTCGCCATTTCACAGACTCACGAAACAAGGAGAACAGAAGCCTAGGCTGGTTCGCAAAAGCATTCATTAATGGGAAATGTGTTTGGGGTTCTGTACGCCCCGCCCCTCCTATCAACATGAAGAAGCGCTCTAGCGCTCATTGATCGCGCCCCGAAAACTCCCAACGCCAAACACAAAAAACCCAAGCAGAAAACAAGACAACCCAGCCCAGCCCAGCCCAGCCCAGCCCAACGCCCCCTTCCCACCCGGTTATCATTGATCGTAAATCGTTCCTCTTGTACAAAACCCAAAAAAAAGACGCCGCGAAAAAACTAAACATGGTTTGCTCGTTAAGAGCCCACCCGCCACGATGCTTCTCCGCTGAAGCGGGATCTCTCCTGTCCCATATGACATGGGCGTTAAGCCCAGCATGATCTGCCGGGCGGACGTGATGGTGAACACGCCGCAGTCGTCCATGTTGGACTGGACTGGGCTTTCGCCCTGCTCTTTGAACGTCCACTCCTTCTCGTTGTAGTGGGCGCCGAGCTCGCCCGCAAGCCAGATCTTGATGGCAGCGATGTACTTGTCGCCGTTCCGCTCATCGAATTGTAGTGCGTTGCACTACGGTCCTTTCCGGACACGACAAGCAGCGTCCAATGGGCGCCGCTGTTGATTGGGATGAAGACCGACTGAACCTCAAGGAGGCTCTTTCCGCCGATCTTTGCACGGTTGGCCCAGCGCTTGATACCTTCGTACCCTTTTTGAACAAGGGTGTTGTAGAAGAATGTTGAGAAGTTGTGGTATGACGGGGTTTGAGTTGGGCGATCGTCTGCTCGGCCGTGCTTGACGACGAGTCCGAGGTATCCGTTGATCACTTCGTCATTGAGCCACGCGGCGGTGCCATTGTTGTTTGTAGTGGGAGGAACAACACGGGCAAAGTCTGTCGACTGGTATTCCCCATGTCCGTGTCGCAAAGTGTGTCGGACCTTTTCTTCCCATTCTGCTGTGAGGGGAACGAGGTTACAGCGATTCTTCTTCTCACTCTCTAGCTTCTCACGTTTGGCGTCGCCTCGGGTCTTTCGGGTAGTATTCTCGAGTGAATGCGGTGTCGCTTTAGGAGTTGAGCGTTCTGGGGTGCGAAATTTCTCATCATCTAGCTTCAGCTGAGCAAGCTGTCTCTCTGGAGTGGAGCGCCCAGACGTCGTAGTCGTAGATGATGGGTTTGCTGCCTCTTCGTCGTTGTCATCCGTGAGGTCAACTGGAGTTGAAGTGGTAGCAGTTGTCGCTTCAGTAGATACGAGGGGTGATCCGATCTCGTCCTTTGATGAGGTGTGTATGTTCGAGTCTGCAACGTTGTCTGGTTCTGGAGCGGCTTCTTGGTTGGACAGACCAGACTGCGCTTCCATCGTCTCGGTGCTTGCTTCTGTAAGAGGAATGACATCGTCCTTTGTTCCTTCCTCAGTCTCTTCTATGGCAGACTTGTTACCGGGGGATCTCTCGCCGGATGACTGTAGTTGTGCATCACGACCGTGGGATACGGATGTTTTTGTGGATTCCTCGCTCTTGGGGGTATTCTTTGAAGCTGGGGCTGGTGAGCCGCCGCCTCCGGCAGCTATCATTCTCAGCACCTTAACTTCTCTCTCAGGCTTTCCCGCTTACCCTGCACCTCCTCCGGCGTCTTGTCCCCGGGGTCAAGCTAGTGGGCAAACACTGGTCCGCCCCACCTATCACTTGCTGATGTGCTTCGCCACTAGGAGCCTCCCAGCTTAGATTCACCACACCTAGTTCCCCTACGGAAATTATACGTATCCAGCCACGACGTCGCGTGGTGCGTAACGTTTCGCTGGAAACCCTACTACAGCTGAAAAGTTGTCGGGCGAGCTACATTCCGCTAAGCATCTCAGACGATGACGTAAATCCGGTTAATTACTGCTTCTTTAATGGCAACTAGGAGACCTTATAGTGTAGAAAAGTACGGCGCGTTTGCGTAGGACGCTTTTAATAGAGTCTGTAATTAACCTAATGAGAAGTATCTCATCCTAACGATGGGGAAATTCTAACGGACTTCGCGTATTAAAAAACCTCGTCCCGCCTAGAGAGACCGCCCTATTATGGGAGACGGTATTCTTATAGCCGTCAAAAGCGGCGGCGCGCCCAGCCCGCGACTATACCCGAAGCGGCCGGGCCGCCTAAACCGAAGGCGGATTTCCCGGCAACGACTTTATAATAAGACTGGGCATTTTGAATCCTCATCGATAACCTACAGCACTAGCGAAATCCTAGTTTTTCTTTTAGATGACTCTGACAATCAGTAGTCTTTACAGCTCAACGACAGGCGCAGGAGAATCTCCCGCCGCCTTTGAGCGTGTCTTCCCTCCATGCTTATATGGCTCCTCCTGCAGTGGTCAGGCCTTGTGACCTTCTCATGGACGGTATGTACTCGGTACAAGTATGTCAAAGCCCTCGCCGTCCCCCCAGTCGCATCGCACGACGCAACTGCCCCTGCATGATCCTCTCTGTTGTACCTGTCAAGGCAAACAAGTGGCCGACAGTGGGAGCCGCCTTAGTATCTCATGTTCTTGTTGGGTCCTGCCCAAACATGCGCTCGACCATGCCGGTACTCATCTTGGATGAGGTCTTTGTCGCTCCCGGAATCCTTGACCTCGATATCGGTCATTTTGTAGATGTCCCTTGAAGGGCCACGGTCTCTTTGCTCGTCCACGCCGCTTCCAAGCATCTGCGAGCTTTTTGTGTTCTTGCTACTCGATGGGAAGCTACCGGTCCAGGTGTTGCGTCTGAAAAGGGAGTTCAGGATAGGGGCGTTGACGGCAAAGACGGCGACCAACTATTTGGGAAATTGTCAGCCTCTTCCATGGATCCAGCCCAATCCCCGTCGGACTAGAGAGCACTCACCAGCTCACGCATGGCCCAGATGGAGCTTTGATTGATGGTCCTGGGGGAATAGATGGTGAGGATGCACCGTAGGAGAGTGAAGGCCATCACAACCCCACCCAAGCTGAGTAGGAAGCCAATTCTGATCTTTCTGCGTCTAGTCAGAAATGTCGTCCTCAAACAAGAAAAAACGTTCATATTGGATCGTGTTACCTCCAGAGGGGGATTTGCGCTTTCCGAAGCATTAGGACCGGCGTCAGAAGCAAAAGGAAGTCAGTCCTGGTCGGAGTTAGCGACGGGGAATAAACACTGATGTACTTTGACCCACGTAAAGTTGCCAGAGGCGACGACAATATTGATGTTGTATCCGTCAGAGCATTCCGCTGCAGAAACATGAGCTATGATGCCATGCAAGGCCAGGAAAAGAGGGTATGCGTACCACCTGGGTCAGGAAGAACTTGCCAGTTGTGGCTGATGGGTATACAATGGGCCAGCAAGGTGATTATGGCGGCGAAAAAGAAGGCAACAGACAAGGCAGCAACGCCCCAGATGAATCTCTTAAGTCGCAAGCCATCCCTAAGGCACGTATTAGCAGTCATCTTCGCATACTTCCGGTCGATACATACGTCAAGCGCAGATAGAAGACAACCATACAGCCCTTCAAGCACCATATCGCGGCGGCATAAAGGTAGAATGCTGCATACATCAACTTGGCGCCACTTTCGAGTTGCACAACCAGTTCTGGAGATAGTTGCTGTCGGACCTCTGCAGTCAGCCCTGCCGGAGCCCCTTTCTGACCTAAGTCTAGGTCAGCGAGTCATTGTTCCTTCGGTACGAGACGACACCAGCGTACTCAGCAGCTCCAGCGCAGCGAGCAGCGAGCTCAAGGTGATTGCCACCCCGACCGCGAAGAGGTCATCCCAATACCATTGTCGAAGTTTGAATCTGACAAACCACCTCAGCAGAAGGACGAAGATACTGACGCAGTACTCGCATCTTGCTTCGATCAACAGAGCAGGGACCGCCATGGTATCGACGAGGTTGCCGTTTGGATGTCGAGTCAATGAGGGATGTATTTTCTCGAGCGTTCAAAAAAGGGACGGAGAAGATATAGGAGGTTATACCAACGAAGTTTGTGTTGAGTAATGGTTGTCCATGCCATTGACCGTTAGAGACCGTTAGACCCACGTCGGCAATGGAGTTCCTGAGATTTGCGCACATCGGGAGCTAGACCACTCCCGCGACGAAAATGCCCTGGAACGATCCTGGAGCCAAGGGCTGCTACCCGGGTTCTTGCAAGGATGCTCAGACGACCAGGGGGTTAGGGCAGCAAAGATCACGGTCCCACCGGCAGCATCGCGAGGACGGAAAACGCTCGCCGAGAGACGGGCGGCCCCAAAGACATGTAGTGGAAACATGCTTGTGTTCCTCGTACCTGCACAGGCATGTGTGGGACGTAGGGCTTCTCTTACACTCAAGGTGTGGCTCCGTCCCCCATCTCTCTACTTGCGTACCGTTCACCAGTCCGTCTGGTTGGCTTGCCGATCTCCCGAACGCCGCCTGCCTCTGAAGAGTATCACGTCACCATACTGGGGAAATGATCTACGGTTTCTGTGTATTCATCAGTAGGCACTGGGGCCGAATTTCGCCATTTCTGGCCACTGCTAGGCTAGCCGACCGGACTATCCTGGGTATACTCTGTACCCCGTGTTCGCGAACTCCATAGAAGTACCTTGATCAGGCGGTGTTGTGGGTATCAGGTGCAGTTTGCTATGGGGTTGAAATTTTCCTTGAAACACCCGAACGTTGGTAGTACACAAGCATAATGCAGATCCGTATCCAGAATTTCGGTATAGTCACCAATAGCACTGGCATGCTCGTGTACTGTACTAGACCTGAGGCCTCGGCAGGCCACAGCATGCTTGTGTACCTCGTAGTCGTGCTGGCTAGCAATGGTGACACACCGCTTGTTTTAGGGATATCTCGTCCTCTTTGTCGTCGTCTTCGTCTTCGTCGTCTTTTTCTTCTTCTTCCTCGTTATCATTTCAAGCTTGTCGGGCGTCCTTTTTTTCCCTTGGTACAGCTGAATATAGTACATACACCATTGTCATGGCCCACGCACTGGTCTTCGGCGCCTCGGGTATCCTTGGGTGGGCTGTCGTTGACCAGATCTTGAAGAATTACCCCCAGAAAGGGACATTTTCCAAAGTCACGGCTCTGACAAATCGTCCATTAGACTTACAGGATTCCCAATGGCCGGAACCCGGAGGCACCAACCCCGAGCTAGCTCTGGTGTCGGGTGTCGACTTGACCCGGGGTACAGTAGAGGACATCAAGCAGCAGCTGAAGGAACGAGTCCCGGACATTGGCACCGTCACGCAGATCTTTTATTTCGGTAAGAGCCTTCTAAGAGCCCGAGAAATCATAGTAGTGCTAATCTAGCCCGGGTCAGCATACATCTTCCATCCGGATTTTCCAACCGAGCAAGACATCAACGTCGCCATGTTCGATCGCGGATTTGTTGCAGCTGAAGCTCTCGCACCAAATCTGTCCTATGTGATCCTGCCGACAGGGACCAAGGTAAGCTCAAGTATGTAAGATGTCGAGGGATGCAATGCTAAGTTACACAAGGGTTACGGCATCCACCAGCCTAAAAGGCCGTTCAAGGCCCCTTTTGACGAGGCTATGAACGACATTCCGCAGCCTTACAGGGATGTGCTGTTCTACTTTGCCCTCCGGGACCGTTTGGATGCCCTTCAGAAGGGGAAGAGATGGAAGTGGGCAGAAGTCAGGTGCGATATTGTGGTAAGTACGATTTATCTGGTCCCTTCGTCCAAGGATACTTAACATCTCCTTCCCCAGGTTGGTTTCTTACCACACAGTAACCCTTACAATCTCGCCGGATTCTTCATCAACTACCTGTCTCTGGTTGCATTCGTCCAAGGACGGGGTGCAAAGGTGCCATACCCGGGACACCCTGACGGCTGGCACACTCTCTCCAACGATGGCGGTCAAGACACCGTCGCAAGATTTTCACTTTACCTATCAGTGAACCCCGACAAGGCCGGGACCTCGGAGCTCTACAACATTGCCGACACTTCAGATGGATATCCCATGTCAGCCAAATGGCCCGCGATATGCGAGTATTTTGGCTTGGTCGGGGTTCCGCCGCTGCCTCTGGGCGATCCGACATATGTCAGTCCGGCTCAATATCTCGAACAGCACAAGGAGGAGCTCAGGCAGATGGAAAGCCAATTAGGGAATAAGATCCAGCAGGTCGATCTGATGACGGGCCTGGACATCTGGCTGATGAACTTTGACTTTGATCACCATCTGGCACTTGGGAAAGCGAGGTCGGTGGGCTTTGTAGAAGAAGGCACAGTCACAGGCAGCTGGATCCAGACCTTTGATCGCTATCGTGCCGCGAGGAAGCTCTGGGTGGCATCGTGAGCCGTCGCCGTTCATGGAGCACAGAAACACTGCACACAGGTTTTCATGTGTTGATAGATATAGATATCTCATCTTACCAGGACGAGATCCAGTACTTTCACACTCTAAATAACCGAGCAGACCCGGACCTCCCCATCTATATTTAAGGCGTTGTAGATGTGCGGCGGTTCTCCACGAGACTCGACTGTAATTCCATGATTGTTGAGATTCTCCGTCTGCTTCGCGCAAGAGGCAAGGGACTCAGTTTTCTGGCAACAACGCACAAGTATTTACATCT